TCCACAAAGGATTTGGCCAAATTAAATTATGCATTTAATTTTTAATGAAAATTCATAAAAAAGAATGATTTTGATAAATATTTATTATTTGAAAGTAGAACATAATGAAAAATTGTCCAGCTTTTGCAATTTGTATAATATTATAATATTTGTATAATATTATAGATATACTATCTATCTATCTATAAATATAATTTTATAAATAATATTATAAATATAATATGTATAATATTAGATATACAGCATTATTTATTTATATTTATATTGATATATTCATCTATATTTCTCTAATTAATAAAATAAAATAAAATAAAATCCACTTTCTTCGAATTTTTTTTCGAAAGCAATCAATTGATTTTATAATTGACACGTATATTAATATTATGCAACCTCTTGCATAAGAAAAATAATACAATTGAATTTACTTCGAATAAAAATTTTCACCATTCTATTACATGTTTATTTTATGTATGAACAAATACTTTTCAAGACATTCTTATTTACTATATATATGATATATATCTTTATGTTATAATATCAATATATGTATAAACCATTTATGTTGCGTCATTGTGATTGTATAATTCATCGTTGTCTACATAAAAATATTATTACGATGAATTACGATGTTTGATATTATTAGAAATTAACTATTTTAACGAGAACTTAAACTTGCGTTTATCGTGTAGTTGTCTGGTGTGACCATGAAACTTTGAATTGTGACGAGTAATCGAGGAGGGTATAAACACAGTATATATAATACCGATCGTTTATAAAATACAGAAGTGTGCAAATAAAGAGAATTTCCATTTTGAATATAATTGAGCATAATTGTACGTAAGCTATTTACAAGTTGTAACAAGGTCTGGATAACAATATGATCCAAAGATATAGAATCGATCTATCGATTCATCATTTTTTTGTTATATCAATGAAATAATAAGATAAATAATTAAATAGTAGTTGCATTTAGTTCTTTTGTTAAAATAAAGAATACGTTCTATTGCATGTTTCTTGTGATATGACACAACTATTTATAATTTCAATTAAAATAACTTTATGTTAAAATATTTCCTATATATTTTATCAAGAATGATGATATAGGATAAAATTGTTAAATTTTAATTTTTATTCAAATTTTTTATTTAAATTTTGTGTCATTTGATATAATTGTTAAATTTTAATATTTATTCAAATTTTTTATTTAAATTTTATTTAAATTTTGTGTCACTTGATATTATTGGTTACAATAATAATTTATATTTTATCGCATGTACGATTATGATATGAAATGACTTTCAGATGACCTTGACCTTAAATGACTCGATTGCTACGATCCTTCCAGTGGCCTTCGATTGGCCTTAATGGAATGATTATCTAAGTTAGTTCGTCGTGAAACAAAATTAAAAATCCTTTTATATAGATTGTTTCTTTTTCAGGTAAGAAATAGCGAAATGTCTCATAAGAGGTGAACAATGAAATTCACTTCAGAAAAGATATTTTAACAAGGAATATCACGTATAAATTATTTTTTTGGTAAAAGAAGTAAAACAAGTGGAGGAAATTTTATTATCAACTTTTCTTTTTAGGAACGAAACAATTTTGAATACAATAAAATACAATAATTTATTTATTTATATTAATTGCTTCAAAGGTTTGCACGAATGCATACATACGATGAAAAAAAAACTAAACTTGGAATATTTTAGTTTCGATTCGTTTTAAATGTCGAGCAAAGGAGAGAAGTAATTGTGAAAAAATAAGAAAGAAACGTGTGATAAAATTTTTCCGATTTTTCAAATAATTTGAATATCCATGCAATTATTAAGAATAAATTTGAATATCCATGCAATTATTAAGATACAATTCTCTGTAATTTATAATATAAATTCTATTTACAATAATATTTAATACGCAATATTCTAGGAATCTTAAATGCAATCGAGATCGAAACAACATTTTATTATTAATAATACCGTTATAATAATAACGAAGAAAATCCTCACTCTCTTACTTGTATTCTTGCTATCGTATTTTATCGATTTTCCGAACGCGCCGATTAATTAGATTCAATTTACATATTGAATTTCATTATTGTTCACGAGCAAAAAAAATTGCACTTTGCACGGAAAAAATGTATTTTAATTGTGATTGCATATATAGCAGATATTTAAATTCGAAAAAAAAATTATATTCTTCTTTCTTTTTCTATTTTTTTCACAAGGAGAATCATCTATTCGACATGTCACTGTTTATACAACAATTGTGCGTACTATTGCAATTATGCATGCACATAAAATTCAATATAATGATGTAATAATAATTTTACAAATAATTATAAAACTAAAAATCGAACATCTATTAAAATTGAAAAATTGCTCGATACGTTCAAAACCTAAACGATATAGAGAAAGCTTTTCCCTCGAATATTTTCTTTCTATTGATTTCAATAAAAAAAATTTCACTCACGAAGAATCGAATCATTTCGAAAAGTAGATTATT